CGCTGCAGCATACGGGCGCCTGGCAAACCTGAGAATAGCGTTCCGATACCTTAATAAGGAATCGTTCAAGACACTGTACACTGTGTATGTTAGGCCCATACTGGAGTATGCAGCACCAGTCTGGAACCCACACCTGGTCAAGCACGTCAAGAAGTTAGAGAAAGTACAAAGGTTTGCAACAAGGCTAGTCCCAGAGCTCAAGGGAATGTCGTACGAGGAAAGGTTAAGGGAAATCGGACTGACGACACTGGAGGACAGAAGGGTCAGGGGAGACATGATAATGACATACAAGATACTGCGGGGAATAGACAGGGTGGACAGAGATAGGATGTTCCAGAGAGGGGACACAGGGACAAGGGGTCACAACTGGAAGCTGAAGACTCAGACGAGTCACCGGGACGTTAGGAAGTATTTCTTCAGTCATAGAGTTGTCAGCAAGTGGAATAGCCTAGCAAGTGAAGTAGAGGAGGCAGGAACCATACATAGTTTTAAGAAGAGGTATGACAAAGCTTAGGAAGCAGAGAGAGAGAGGACCCAGTAGCGATCAGTGAAGAGGCGGGGCCAGGAGCTGAGTCTCGACCCCTGCAACCACAATTAGGTGAGTACATGTATGTGTAGTGTGCCCTAAGTGTAAGTAGAAGTAGCAAGATGTACCTGAAATCTTGCATGTTTATGAGACAGAAAAAAGACACCAGCAATCCTACCATCATGTAAAACAATTACAGGCTTCTGTTTTACACTCGCTCGGCAGGACGGTAGTACCTCCCTGGGTGGTTGCTGTCTACCAACCTACTACCTACATTCTTTTGCTTTGCACTTTGAATTTTTATTCTCACAAAAAATAGAAGATTTACTGTTATGCACACTACTGCGTTAGTGTAGAAATGGTATGAAAGTTAAGACACTTGTGCAACATCTGGTTATCTTTATTGTAGACGTTTCGCCATCCAGTGGCTTTATCAATACAGATTCTTGGATATAATTAGAAAACAGAAGAACTGTATACAAAAGATGAGGTAATCAGTCCCTCAACCTTGGAGGTGGTGTTTACAGCACCGTGATTGTAGACATTCTGAAGCACAGGTAAGGAGACTTGCGCTTATAGTATAGGCGTCAGTGAATGGGGACATGTAGCAGACGAGGGCATAGTCACTGTTAGGCGGGATTCCCCAGCGGAAGTAGGTCCTACCTAAATTGATGGGTTAGTTGTAGAAGCTGTGAAGAAGGTCATGTAAATATCCTCTGAACCAAGATTCCATGATGTTGCAGTGCCTGACAAGTTGTACAAGACAGGTATTCAATACCGACAAGATGAAAGTTAAGACACTTGTGCAACATCTGGTTATCTTTATTGTAGACGTTTTGCCATCCAGTGGCTTCATCAATACAGATTCTTGGACATAATTAGAAAACACAAGAACTATATACAGAAGATGAGGTAATCAGTCCCTCAACCTTGGATGTGGTGTTTACAGCACCGTGGTTGTTGAGATTCTGAAGCACAGGTAAGGAGACTGGCGCTTATATAGGCGTCATCTACATGACATTCTTCACTGCTTCTACAACTAACCCATCAATTTGGGTAGGACCTGCTTCCACTGGGGAATCCCGCCTACCTTTGACTATGCCCTCGTCTGCTACACGTCCCTATTCACTGACGCCTATATAAGCGCCAGTCTCCTTACCTGTGCTTCAGAATCTCTACAACCACAGTACTGTAAACACCACCTCCAAGGCTGAGCGACTGATTACCTCGTCTTTTGTACGTATATAATTCTTCTGTTTTCTAATTATGTTCAAGAATCTGTATTGATAAAGCCACTGGATGGCAAAACATCTACAATAAAGATAACCAGATGTTGCACAAGTGTCTTAACTTTCATCTTGTCGATATTGTATACCTGTCTTGCACAAGTTGGTAGAAATGGTATAAATAATATCAGCATGCTTGTGAAAGAATATTAGACTCACCAGTTGACGTGTATTGGACGCATGGCATGATTTGTTTACTTTTGAACTTTGGCAAAAATCGAACTTTTCTGCTACTTTGAGCTCAATTTCAAGGTACTTTTCATTGTGAAACCAATCAAAATCATCTCAATTTCCATAATGTCTTCCATTCTATAAAATGAGACCAGGAAAACTAGAATACAACCATAAATATCATACAAAAATACACTGCAAAGTCGCTGTTTTAAAGCAAAAACACAATCGGCGTTTTTTTTTTTCATTATGCACTGTGTGCTGCAGGATTTTTTTTTTATACTGCGCACACTGACCACATAGACCCATTCTTTCATGTAGGCCTACCAGCTTTCTCTTGCTAGATTTGAAGGCGCTAGAATTTACGAGTACTAGTACAGCCCCAAACCCCTGGCGTGCAAGCCGTACTAGTACGGCATCAACCCTGAAAGGGTTAGTATTAGGGCAAGTATGTTATTTTCATATAGTCGGACTTGAGTCCTGGAAATGGGAAGTACAATGCCTGCACTTTAAAGGAGGGGTTTGGGATATTGGCAGTTTGGAGGGATATGTTGTGCATCTTTATATGTGTATGCTTCTAGACTGTTGTATTCTGAGCACCTCTGCAAAAACAGTGATAATGTGCGAGTGTGGTGAAAGTGTTGAATGATGATGAAAGTATTTTCTTTTTGGGGATTTTCTTTCTTTTTTGGGTCACCCTGCCTCGGTGGGAGACGGCCGACTTGTTGAAAAAAAAAAAATGCCTGAAATGCCTCAACATGATAGTGGCTTTCTTTGCTCCAATTATATTGTTACGTAAACACACATTGTAACCTTTGCAAAGAAATAAATGTAAGTTTAGTTTTTAAAGTGCAGTAATTTCCTCCTCCCTCCCTCCCTCCCTCCCTCCCTCCCTCCTGTCTTCTTCTTCTTCTGTCTTCTTCTTCTGTCTTCTTCTTCTGTCCTTTTTTTCTGTCTTCTTCTGTCTTCTTCTGTCTTCTTCTTCTGTCTTCTTCTTCTGTCTTCTTCTATCTTCTTCTTCTTCTGTCTTCTTCTTCTTCTGTCTTCTTCTTCTTCTGTCTTCTTCTTCTGTCTTCTTCTGTCTTCTTCTTCTTCTGTCTTCTTCTTCTTCTGTCTTTCTTCTGTCTTCTGTCTTCTTTCTGTCTTCTTCTTCTTCTGTCTTCTTCTTCTTCTGTCTTCTTCTTCTTCTGTCTTCTTCTTCTTCTGTCTTCTTCTTCTTCTGTCTTCTTCTTCTTCTGTCTTCTTCTTCTTCTGTCTCTTCTTCTTCTGTCTTCTTCTTCTTCTGTCTTCTTCTTCTTCTGTCTTCTTCTTTCTTCTGTCTTCTTCTTCTGTCTTCTTCTTCTTCTGTCTTCTTCTTCTTCTGTCTTTTCTTCTGTCTTCTTCTTCTGTCTTCTTCTTCTTCTGTCTTCTTTCTCTTCTTCTTCTTCTGTCTTCTTCTGTCTTCTGTCTTCTTCTGTCTTCTTCTTCTGTCTTCTTCTTCTTCTTCAGTCTTCTTCTGTCTTCTTCTTCTTCTGTTTTTCTTCTGTCTTCTTTCTGTCTTCTTCTTTCTTCTGTCTTCTTCTTCTTCTTCTTCTTCTTCTGTCTTCTTCTTCTTCTGTCTTCTTCTTCTTCTGTCTTCTTCTTCTTCTGTCTTCTTCTTCTTCTTCTGTCTTCTTCTTCTTCTTCTGTCTTCTTCTTCTTCTGTCTTCTTCTTCTTCTTCTGTCTTCTTCTTTTCTTCTGTTCTTCTTCTTCTTCTTCTGTCTTTCTTCTTCTTTTTTCTTCTGTCTTCTTCTTCTTCTGTCTTCTTCTTCTTCTTCTGTCTTCTGTCTTCTTCTTCTGTCTTCTTCTTCTTCTGTCTTCTTCTTCTTCTGTCTTCTTCTTCTTCTGTCTTCTGTCTTCTGTCTTCTGTCTTCTTCTTCTTCTGTCTTCTGTCTTCTTCTTCTGTCTTCTGTCTTCTTCTGTCTTCTTCTTCTGTCTTCTTCTTCTGTCTTCTGTCTTCTTCTTCTGTCTTCTTCTTCTGTCTTCTTCTTCTTCTTCTTCTGTCTTCTTCTTCTTCTTCTGTCTTCTGTCTTCTTCTTCTTCTTCTTCTTCTGTCTTCTTCTTCTGTCTTCTTCTTCTTCTGTCTTCTTCTTCTTCTTCTGTCTTCTTCTTCTTCTTCTGTCTTCTTCTGTCTTTCTTCTTCTGTCTTTCTTCTTTCCATCCAACATTTAAAGTTTCTAGTGAGTGTGAGGGATGGTCTGAACACTACACACACTACCCTCAACTGTACCTACCACCACCCTTACTTGTGTGTACTCTTACACCTACTTCCCACAGCATACACTTTTAATATTTTTCTTGGTTTTCACTGTAGCTAAACCATATGATATATGCTACTTTGGTTCAGGTGTGGTGGATTTGTATTTGTTTGGTACAGTTTGTTTAATGAATGTGAATTTTTATATTTAGATTGAGATTAATCAGGGATATACAGTATTTTTCCTTTAGTTTTTATACTTAAATATATTGATGTATGGTTTGAAAATTCTCATTGTAATATTCAACTAGCAGCAGGTGTATCTGGATTATTAACTTTGATCTCAGTCTAGCATTAGTCCTTGTTAAAATGGGAAATAGCTGTTCAACAGGGACAGGGGTGGGGAGGGTTCAGAATTCTTTGGTCCTTTAAAGTTGTGTGAACATTAGTTAAGCAGAGGAAGGCAACTGACTGTAAATTGACATGAATTTTGTATGGAGAATGAAAGCTGTGCATTGGAAAGAGGAATAAGTGTGTGGAGGAGAGTTCTGTTGAAGGAATTAATATAGATGGGCTGTAAGGATAAAGAATATTTAGGTCACCCTGTTCATTTTGAAATAACTAACACTGATATTAATGAATCTTGGTAGGCTAATAGTAATTACTATCAGACTGATACCTGGTACAACAATCTGAGTTACATTATAGGCTCATATTGTACTCTAATTACTTCATGAGCTATACATTTTTTTAACCCTTCTGGATTACGATGATCGTTAATTATAATTTATACATTGACAGTTACTACAACAAGGAGGTGGCAGGATGTTGAATCCGTTCCATGACCCTAACTGTATGAAGCGCATTAAGGAGGACCCTCGCACTAAAGAATTCATGAAGGACCCAGAATTTGCTAAAAGAATGGAAGAACTCGTGATGAATCCCCAGACACTTAGGTATGTTCCTCTTTCCCCACTATAAAACCTCCAGGAGGTCACTTGATGCTCTTGATCCCAAGAATTGGAGCTAACCTTCCTTTCTTGGGTTGAATATGATTGCCTACCATTCCCCAAGCTCTGTATGATCCCAGTGGATTTAGCACTACCCCACATAGTAATAATAATAGTTCCCTCATTTTTAAAAGTCAGATTCTGTTGTCTTGGCCCAAAGGCAGGCTGCAAGAGTAGGAAAATAGAACCCATCAAAGCTGTATCTACCTTGGCTCCAGCATTATCTTTACTGTACAGTTGATTTATACATTAGAGACATGCTTAATATGAAAACAAAGCTTTTCTTAGTTCTTATTCTTGCTATATTTTAACAGTTTAGGAGGCTTGCTTAAAGATGGGGCTGCTGGCCAATGATTCCAGGAACAATTAACAAATAACAGAACATGAGGTGAAGTTGTAGCCATCTGCGAGTCAATGGATTTCGTGTTGTCTATTGACTTAGTTTTCTTTTTGCTGTGTGAATATTAACCAAATGCAAGACCCTTTTGTGAAGAATATCTAGTGATGTCCAAATTACATAGAGTACTATAAAATTAATGTACAGTACAGAAAGAACAAAAAGGAACAGTACCATGACTGGAACAATACACACACAACCCACACTTAGGAGACTGTAACTCATGACATATATGGGAGTGAATTAAAATGTTCATGTCATTGTGTAAACTATGCCCATTTTCTCTGGAAGGAGCACCCTGTCTATTTCCTATAAGGTATATATGGTAACTGCATCAAGGTGGGGCCTACTGTTTTTGAAAATATGTATGCATATACAGTTTGAAATTTTTTAAAGTATTTTCATGGAAATAAGAAATTTTTCCACTATTCTGGTTTGTTTTTGTGGTTTAACTCTGTCTAATTTAAGGTCTTAAAATTATATTGCTTAATAGTAAATTCAATAGCAATTTTCAACTTTTATTTCAGTACCATGTTAAATGACAAAAGAGTGTTGACGACTTTAAGTGTGTTAATGGGAATGGATGTCAGTGACGATGATGATGAAGAACCTGAACCATCTCCACTTCGCAAGAAGACTCCAACACCTCCACCTAAACAAGAAAAAATGGAAGTAGATAAGAGTCCGGAACAGCTAAAAGTACGATAAAAGGCCTATGCCATTTTATAAGGAAGAAGGGGGCCTTATTGTAGAATGTATTGTGTATATTCAGATGTCTGATTCATGCTCATTGTAGTTTGTGAATTTCTCTGATCTTCACTTTGATGTGTTTCTTCTCTTCATCAGAAGATAAAACTTACATAGGCTTGGCACCCTGCACATCTAATATAATGGTATTCTATACAATGTTGGAATAATCAGCGATGCTTAACTTAGTATCTTTGATCTACATTTCTATGAAAATGCATTGTATGTTAATACTAACCTCTTCAAGGGGGGCTTCTTGATGCGGCAAAGATGCTCTTGGTCTTAGGAATTAAACCCTTTGGTCTCCTTCCTCAGACCGAACCTAAGTACCCCCCAATCCTCCTTTCCCTATCCCATCTTCCCCGTCCCCCCTTTTTTTCTTTCCCCTTTCCTCCCCCTTCCCAATCCTCCCCTTTCCCTGTCCCGTTTGTAGTCTCTGGGGCCCTCCTCTCTGGCATTACGGTTTCTACATAGGGGGAAGTTTGCTAAGGTTCATCCCACTTCATGGGGTCCCTCGGGGGTCGTGTATCTTCGGAAGCTGCCTGTCATTTCTGGGAGGTGGCAGCTGAAGGAGGTATGCTTTATGGCGGGTTTCCAACAGCCCTTTCTTTTGTCCACTGAAGTGGCTCGGTGGATGTGAGGCCGCTATCCCGGAGCGCTGGTTTACTGGCATGAAGGGTAGGGTATGCACTGGTTCCATGCTGCATCTTCACTGCTCGTGGGCTCGAGGCCTCCCTCAGATGAGAGGAGGAACTTGCGGCCCTTCCATGCCTTCTAGTGACTGTCCCTCCGCTGTCCCTCTTTTTTTTTTTTTCTTTAAAATAACAAGAAAGAAGATAACATGGAAGAAGCACCACTATCGTGGAATCTTTGTTCTGTGATAACCCTCCTCCTACCAGGCCCCTTTCTGATCCCTCATCCTGTTCTGACTTGGCTTCGTTATTGGACCATTCTTTAGACTCTTCCCATACCCCCGGTACCTTCTGCTGGTGACACTCCGTCACCTGCTACAGGTGCTGGGGCGCCACCCGTTTTTGTTAGTGCCACTGCTTCTTGCACATCTTTAACAATACGTCCGGCTTCCCTGAATACAGTGTGACGGTGTTTGGATCGCCCACCTCCCTCAGGTCAAACCACTTGCGGTACTACTCCTAAACGTTCTAGATAACCTACTGATGACTGTTCTTCAGTGTCTGCCCAAAAATGACCTACGTGGCACCCACTCCCTTTGCGCACCATGTTTACAAGTACAAAGTGGACTTAAATTCTTTTCCCTACCACCAGCATCTCCAGCTGATTATCTCTCTGATCATAGTATTGGTAAAGCTCTTTTATGGCATCTTGGCCTAAATATGTTTTCACACTCTTCGAAGCAGCACGCATGTCATTACAGTTCAGAATTCAGAACAGCTCGTACTCTCTCCCATATAACTTCCATAGATAGCATTCCAGTCACAGCTCATGAGCACGCTACTCTCAGTTCTTGCAGTGGTACTGTGGTTTTACCGCATACCATTGTGCAGAGTGATTTTCTGCCTTGCGGCGATGATATTTTAGAGCAATTAGCCCTTCAGGAGCTTCCTATTCTCAAAGTGGATACATACATCCTGCCTGCTCATGGGCGGAGGCGCTTTTCCAGTAACATTGCCCATTTAACCTTGGACTGCCGTGAACTCCCATCCTCTGTTTATATTTTAGGCCATCGCCTAGAGGTCCATAAAGTGATCCCTACTCCCCAACAGTGTCATAATTTCTGGCGCTTCAGGCACCCCACTAAATACTGCAGATCTGCAGTGGAGTACCTGGTCTATGGTGCCACAGATCATACCAATGCATCTTGCAGTCTTCCTCCCTCTTGTCTCAATTGCAGTGAATCTCGTCCTTTTTCATGCCATTGTCAAGTCTATTATAATGAACGAGAAATCTGTTATCTCAAGGAGAGTGAAGGCCGTACTTACGCTATGGCTGTCTTCCAGCTCCGCCTTCAGGGAAAACTCCCTCATGTTCCTTATTCTCGGGTAGCCCTTGACGGTCCTCCCACCCACCAACTCCTCTGCGGCCATGTCTTCCGGGGGCACCCCTGTTTCTAATTCTTTTGCAGTTTTATCCTCTGAAACTCCTACCTCTGCACCTCTTCCTACTTCTGCTTCATCTCGCTCACTACTTTCTCAGTCTACGAGATCTCGAAGCCTACACCTTCTTTGTGTCTATCACCTGTGCAGTTAAATTCTACCTACAAACCCCTCGGCGCCTGGTTCTTGCCCCCCTTTCTAGCTCTCGCACGTAGGTGGAGGTATTCCCCCCACTCATGTAGGCCCCTCTTCTCCTGTTCCCTCACCCCCCTGGTCTTCCCTTTCCCTTTCCCTCTCCTGTTACATTACAGGACTCTTCTGCCCCTGCCGACGCATCTCTCCAGGTTCATACTCCCTGCCCCTCTCAGACCTCCATAGTTGCTCCGGTCTCTACTTGCTCTACCTCATCTGTCTCTGAAATCGTGGTATCTGCATCTTCCTTATCCGCTGAGATGCTTAACACTATCTCCAGTTATATTACGGAGACGAAACCCTAGATGGACACCGACGCGCCTCCTTTTACCCTTTCTTTTTCACAGCCCTCCTTCACAGTATTCTGATTCCTCCTTGCTTACATACTTACTGTTGCCCCCACACATTGACTTGATTGATCCTAATAGCCTATAGATTTTATCACTTCGTATTGTTGACATTCCTATTTTTGTAAATAATGTCTTATTTACGTTGGAATATTTGTGGCCTCGGGTAATCGGGGAGACTCCAAGTGTTACCCCTCCCAGTTTTCCCTGATATATGTTGTTACAAGAGCCCAAAATTCATTCAGCTGTTATTCGTCCTGTTTTGGGCCATGTGCTGTTACATTCTTCTGATCCTTTTTCCTGATGAATCATTTAATGAGAGCACGCTTCTTCTTTCACATTGATATGCTGTATCGACAAGTTTTTGTTCGTTCTAATGCTGCAGCTCGTATTTAGTTACACAGATGGTTATACAGTTTGCTCTCTCTATCTTTCCCCCCTGTGCATTCTGTATCTTGGATATTGTATTTTTGATCTCTTCTCTACTGCCGCCCATCTTGTTGGGTGATTTTAACACCCATCATCATCTGTGGGGAGGGTCCCACTGTGGCATTGGAGAGAAGGAGTATAAGAGTGAATGTTTTCAGATATTTGGGAGTTGATTTGTTAGCAGATGGGTTTTTGAAGGATGAGATTAACCATAGAATTGATGATGGAAAAAAGGTGAGAAAGTGCTTTGAGGAAATCTGTGGAGCCCAAAAAAAAACGTTATCCATGGAGGCAAAAAAAGGGGAAAGTTTGGAAAGTATAGTGGTAAAAAACCTATATGGGTTTTGGAAGTTTGGGGTTGAAAGGCTGCAGTGAGGAGGGGGCGGGAAGACGGGTGGAAATTTTCATGTCTAAGGGAAGGGTGGGGGTTGTAAATTTTATGCAGAGAATTCGGAGTTTTGGAAAATTGGGAGGAGGTGCGGAGTTACAAAAAGTATCTTCAGAGGTCTTGAAGGGGGTTGTTGAGGTGGTTTGGTCATTTAGAGAAAAAGGGGGATCAAAGTAAAATTTGATTTTGGAGGTGTGTAAAATCTAAAAGGGAAAGGGAAAGGTAGAGCAGGGGTTCGCCCTAAAAAAGGATTGGGGGGGGGGTAAAGGAGGTTTTTTTGAGCGGGGGCTTCGACTTCTAGCAAGCATTTTGTTGTTTTGTGTTTTAGAAAGGGGGGAATGGGGGCCCCAATGGTTTTTGGGCCCCTGACGAGTGTTGGAGTGTGAGGGGGGGGGAAAAAAATTTTTGTGAAGGGGATTCAGGGGGCCAGTTATTTTTATTGCCGGACTAAGGTACTGAAAGGGGGAAAGTACAGTGCCGGAAATTTTAAGGAGGGGTTTGGGATTTTGGCTTTTGGAGGGATATGTTTTTATTTTTATATAGGGCTTCTAAACTATTGAAATCGGGGGCCCCTTGCAAGGACAGTGTTTTATGTGTATTATGGGGGGGGTTTTTTCTATTTTTTTGGGGTTTCCCCCTTGCCCCCGTAAAAAGACACCCGATTTTGTTAAAAAAAAAAAAAAGTACACAAGTTTTAACTATCAAGATTGTATAAAAACATGAAAAATTTTAAAAAAACACTTAAAATTTTGGGAAAGGTTTCCAAAACATAATGGAGGAGCCAGTGTTACGGAGAATGAAAGGGAAAAACCTGGTGGGACATGACTGTTTAGAAGCCCTTTTTGGGGGGCCTTTGTAGCAAGTTTTGGTCATTTTTGAAATGTCACATTAGGGGAAAAATACGAAAAGAAAAAAGCCAAAAAAGGGGGCCCTACTGAAAATTTTTTCCCTCTTCAACGGGGGCCCCTTTGGCGTGGTAAAAGGAGGCCTTGGTCTGAGAATTGGGACCTGTCGGTTCCTTCCTCAAAACCAAACCCTAATTCCCCCCAAATTTCCCCTTTCCCCTATCCCTCCCCCCTTTTTTTCCTTCCTCCCCCTCCCCACCCCCCCTTTTTGGGCCCTTTCCTTTTTTGGGCCCTTTGGGGTTTTTTTTTTTTTTTCCCCACGGGCCAACTAGTTCCTAGGTAGGCGAAAGGGTAGGGGGGGTCCTTTCCCTTTCCTTTGGGTTTTCTTGGCGGTGGCGTATTTTTGGTGGAATCTGGATTGCCTGGGGTTTGCCCCGATCCCTCCCCGGTATCCCGGGGGTGGTTTTGGGTGTCTCTCGGGGGGACGGGTGTATCTCGGGAAGCCCCCTTTTCGGATTCCGGGGGGTGGTGGCCAAAAGGGGGTTTTGCTTTGTGGGGGTTTTTCCCGGGCCGCCCCTTTTTTTGTCCCCGGGGTTAGCTCGGCAGTTTGTGAGGTTGCTACCCCGGGATTCCCGGTTTTTTATTTGGCATGAGGGGTTTGGGGTTTTTTCCCACTGGT